AATCTCCTTCGATTCCGGTGAAAATGTGCTAAACTTTCGTCCGTCATATGACGGACATCATCAGAGCGAGTTAACATCGTCACAACAAAATTCAAACTAACGAGTCAAGAAACAAGAGATTCCTCGAAACCTAACTTTTCTTCGTATATATTGCCCTGTGATTCACAGGTAATCGTGGGAGTGTAGCGAGTGGTAACAACGAAATTATAGAATCACCTATTCGGACTGTGGGCGCTCAATGTGAGTGCTGAAGAGGTATAGACAGTTCAGAACTCCAGTACCTTCTGGAGGAGATTACTTTTTTGGGAGCAAGATTATGTGAAATTCACTGGAGATATGAGGCCTATTCACATAATAATGAGAAAATTCATCTATCAGTCCTGAAATAAGTTTCAGTGTCTTAGCGGACTGTTTCTTATTTAAGATTTACTGAAAATATCAAAAATATCCACTAGCTATGAAAAATGGGGTAGACTTCTAATCTTAACCTAAGTGAAATTTCGACAGCAAAAAGCCATGCTGTATTTCAAGGCTTTTTCTCTTCAGAACGTTTTCTCTTTCTCATCTCGCCAGAGAAATCGTCAAGACTACAGGGCACTATTGATTTGCTTCTACCTCTCATTAGCACATACCTTATAATTGGGCTATTCCTCTTACGCCTACATTTTCCCAACTACTTCTCTATAATTGTCCCTCCGTACGTCTATCTATCTGTCAAACTGGCCTACTTGGATATATCTATTGCTAATTTGTAGAGTTCACCAACCATATGTTTGCTTTGTATGGGAGTCAAGTAAACCTATTGGTATGCCCTCGACATTCCACATGCATGCGGCTGGCATGAGTCGGTCTCCCCAATTGGCATGAGCCACAACGAGCCCTCGTTGGCTGAAACTCCAGTCCCTTTCCTCCACTTTGTGCGACGGTACAAGTGGAGACAAATGTGCTCATTTCACCGCCCTTGTCGCACCTTCTCGTCTGCTTGGCTCATGGATCTCACACCACGAACAAGCCAACATGGGCAGTTCTCCTCGCCTAAAACATGTTCGAACAGCACCAGCTTGGACCAGTGTTTTGGGTTCCCAATGAGCCGAACAGAAGCTGTCCAAATGATTATCTAAATGTCTTGCAATCGACACTGGCGGTTCAGGGCAGACGATTAGGGCATATTGAGTTGCCAAGTCCTGTCTAACCAAGAAGGGTGATTATAACCTACTAGAAGACTGCCCGTGCTGAGCTCTGTTAGACCCGCAGGACTGCGCTCAGCCATACAGTACAGCAAATTGCTCACTTCCGATTGAAATTTTAGTTTGACTAAGCAAAGGGTGGACATAGGGCTAGGCTGCTCCACATGGGCAGATAATACCGACTACTGACAGGGCCATGCGCACAACCTAATCTGTAGAGTACTGAGTAATGTAAACAGAAATAGCCGTCCTCCTCTGCAAAGACATGCTTCTTTGCATATTCGCCCCCATAGAATGTCTCACTACCAGTCAAAAATTTGACCTGGACAACTGGACTCCGGGAGAATCGACCTAGTTCTGCCACCTATGGGAACTGTCGCTGGGCCGCCCTGAAACTCAATTGCACTGGTAATCACTCTGCTCTCCTATACATTGGTGCAAGTGAGTACGCCTGCGTGCCTCTCAATTTATTAGCATTAGTAGGCTTTAATCGATTTGGAGTGCCAATATGCATACAGTAAATGCTTGGCTGTATAGTAGAGCTCAAACTTTCAATCCCTAAGCTACCATCTTATCTCCTTCACACTCCGAATCCCACTCTGATTAGGTCTAGTGCCATATATGCCAGCTACGGAATTATAACTTATGAAGACCACACTGAATATGCCCCAAAGTGAATTTAGAAAATATAAAGAATCTGGATCGGAACAGAGGCATACGGAGCTGTTCCAGGATCCCAAGGGGAAAACCGCAAGCCATGAGGATTTTACCCATCCTCAGCAAAGAGACTCTGATCTACAAAATCTCGGTGACAACTCGACATCTTCATTAAGCATAGATAAAGCAGATGCTGGATCAGATGGCAAAAACTTCAGTTTGGAGGCAGCACAGGCCGCCGGAGGATATACTAACAAAGTGGGATCTATGACTCATGACGGTGGAACGCCAGAAGCAACTCTCTCTTATGACGCATTTCCTGGTGCCACGGCGAAGTTACTTGAGAACTTGCAGATAGGCATGAAAAAGTTGGATACTGCTCCACGGTATCTACTATTGCTACATATCGTCTCGGCTGGGAAACAAGAAGAGAATCTGGGATCTGATGAGATGTCTGTCATTATGATAACTGGAAAACTCCACGATCTTCAAGATCCAGATGTAAGTTTTACTTTGTTTATTCAATAAACAGAGAGCTTTTGAGGAAAATTCCAAAGCATGTGAAGAAGTAAAACAGATTAAAATCAAATACCCTATCATTAAAGCCAATTAGGGTCAAATGGTGTTCCAGATACAGACAATAATTCCCAATAAGTTTTACCCTAAGGGAACACCTCAGGCAGATTATTTCATCCAATGGGGGTT